CCTGGGTGTCATCTGTAAGCGCCGAATCGCTGAGTTCTACTCCTGAAACCAACATCACACAAGGTAAGTTAACTACCTTGAATTTAAATAAATAAATTTTAGAAAACGAAAAAAAAAGAGAGAGTGAGAGCGATCCTGAACTCATGATCCTGAGGTCAAACCATGAGCTGAGATCAAGAGTCAGACGCTTAACTGACTGAGCCACCCGGGCACCCCAAATGCATCCATTTCTATCCGTCTCCACTGCAACCACCTAAAGCAAGCCGCCATCTTTTCATGCTCTGTCTCCCTCTGTCTCAAAAATAAAATCCTCCCATGGCCTACCAAGTCACTCGCAACTTAAAATCCAAACTCCCAACACGACCCATAAGACCCCATGTCACGTGGCTCCTGTCTACCTCTCCAGCGTGGTCTCGTGCCACACGCTCCGTTGCCCCCTGCGCTCTGGCCACACCGATCTTTCTCCGTTCCTCACAGGCCTCCCCCACCCCCTCCATTTCCATGCCAACTCTTCCTAAAGCTGGCTCACCCCCCTTTATTCAGGCCCCTGCTCACATATCACTGCTTCAGAGAAGCCCCCCTCTGACCGCCTTGTCCAAAGTTGGTCCCCACTTTACCCCTATTTCAACACCCTATATATTTCCTTCATGGCACTTATAAGTTGCAAATGTTTTTTCCCTTTTTCGGGACGTGAGGTCCTGCCTTCCCCGCTAGATTATAAACTCTATGGGGGCAGGGACAGAGATAGTTTCATTCACTATTATATCATACATGTGTACCATAGCACCGTGTCTGACAAATTGCAATATCAATGAACGAGATCAATGTATCGTTATCCGGTAGACATTAAAGGAACACACAGTGTCTATTTCTACAACCCCCCTCCCCCCATCAAATTCCCTAAAAATTTTGGCACCAAAGTGCTTTGGGACTCACCCCCACAGGTGTGTGACGGGCAGCCCAAGGGGACTGGGCCCGTATTGGAGGGCCAGGAAGAGACCCTGCCTTCCTTCCTTTGATAAATATTTATGTGGGCCTTCACACAGGAAATCTTTCAGAACTCCTGAAATTCCTACTGAAAGATTCATCCAGTTCACTTTGAAACCAGGTTAATATAAAATATACAAAGTATCAAATGTATACAGGCGACTGGGTTCCGTGCCAAATCTTACAAAACAGGAAGCGAGGGCGTAGAATCTGCACATTTCACAAGCTCTCCTGTGCTACTCAGTATCAGCCAAGACTGGGAGCTGGGCGGCGTGCTTGAGAGCAGGGGCTTTGCTGGGGTTCCTGGGAGTTACCTCCTTCCCAGTCCCCATGCCTCTGCTGCCCAGAGCTAATAGCACAGAGCCCGATGCGGGGTTAGAACTCACGAACTGCGAGATCATGCCCTGAGCCAAAGTCGGACGCTTAACCGACAGAGCCACCCGGTGCCCCTTCTGCTGTGTGATCTTAAGGCAAGCCCTTTCACCTGTTTGAGACTCACTCTCCTCATCCATAAAATAAGACTGTTTACTCATTCAGTCAATCCCTGTTTACCGAATACTTGTTGCGTAAGGCATATACACAATTCACAAGGTCACTGTGGGGCCGGAGCAGGATGATGTGTTTAAGATCTGGCTCGTAGTCCCCATCTGTACATGCTGCTGTTAGTTTTGGCCTATGAGCAATTTAAAGCATCAAGTTTTCAGTAATTCTAAGGCTTGACATTAAATATATATATATATGTATATATACACACTATTTTTAAATATGAAACTTATTGTCAAATTGGTTTCCATACAACACCCAGTGCTCATCCCAACAGGTGCCCTCAATACGGATATACACTATTAACAAGTACTTAGGAGACTTTATAATCTTGACGTTCATTAATTAATGTTCTGCGGTTTCTAGCATTCAGTCACTCATTCAACAAATACCTATTGAACTCTGGACCAGCTCTGTTGCAGGTGCTAGGATGTGGGGGTACACACTTCAGTCTTGGCCCTCAAGGAGCGAACATTCTAGCACGGTTTACTACTGCCCTCACCCCACTCTTCGCTAGATTGTAAAGAACTTGACAACTGGGACTGTGGGAGCCTTTCCACACACACACACACACACACACACACACACACACACACAACCTGGAGCACAGCCTGAGGCACTCTTCCCAGAAGTCACTCTTTGATGGCCTGCTGTGGGTTTGGTGGCTTGCTTTCCCCCACCGCCCCCTTCACTGTGGCTAATTTACATTGGAATGTAAATCCTAAGCATTTACATATATTATTTCCTTTAATCCTCACAGAAACTCAATGGGGCTCACGCTATTTTAATCCTCATTTTGCAAATAAGCCTAAGAATGGAGGGGTTAAGAAATGTGACCAAGTTTCTGAAGCTAGTAAGTAATGGGAACCCAGGCCATAAAGAGCCTCATGCTTTTCCACCCAGACTGTGTCCATTTGGATGTTCCTACTGACAGCATTTTTTTTTTTAAGATTTTTTATTTTCACATCATCCCTACACCCGACATGGGGCTCAAACTTACAACCCTGCAATCAAGAGTCACATGTTCTACGGACTGAGCCAGCCAGATGCCCCTGGCACCACTTTCAACTTGAGCATGGAAGGCAGCCTGGGTGGCTCCGTCGTCTAAACATCTGACTTGGGCTCAGGTCATGATCTCGCGGCTCGTGGGTTCGGAGCCCTGCATCTGAGCTGATAGGGCAGAGAGCCTCCTTGGGGTGCCGCCCCCCCCCCCGGGCCTCCCCTGCTTGTGCTTTCTCTGTGTCCCTCAAAATAAATAAATAAACTTAAATGGTGCTTTCAAAAAACTGAGTGTGGAGCCCAGAGTCTTGGCCTTTGGCCCCAGGTGGCATTTTCTTGGTCTGCAGAGTCCTGGGGTGGCCCGATGTTCTAGCCTGAACACTGAACATCTGGCACAAAGCAAACTAATCCTCATGAATTTCTTCATTTTGCTGAGTCACTTGGGTTGAACCTAGCTCAGGTAAAAGAACTCAACCGAGCTGGGAGGATAGCATAAGAAAGTGGTCAAGACAGCTCAGAGCCCGGAGCCTCCTTCAGATTCTGTGTCTCCCTTTCTCTCTCAATTAAAAAAAAAAAAAGAAAAGAAAATAGTCAAGACAGTTCATGAGGCAACCAGAGCATGGGTTCCTTGAGACAAAGACGAAACAAATTCCGGCTCTGAAAGTAATAATAGAAATGAAGATCTTTTCAGCTGAAGAGCCTGGTTTGCACACTCCAGCCCTCTCAAGTTTGTTCTCAAGATACCAAGAACAAACTTGAGTTTGATAGTGTGTTTCAAACAAAGGCAGAACCAGAGACATACTTTCACTTGCAACGAGGGCATTGATTAGACAACAAAGCTCCAGGGACCCCAGATGGTCTGCCCCTCAGTGTACAGACACGGGGCACATTTTCCCTTTTATCAGAAGTTACGAAAAAACGAACAGAGAAGCTTCTGTTTTGAAGGGACCTTGGGCCTTGCTCCCATCTTACAGGGAGCATTCCTGACTTCCCCAGCAGATCCTAGACCATCAGGCCAAGTAATACCACTGACGTCAACGTTCGGAGGAGAGTGTGGAGTTTGCAGTTATCGTCAGACTTGACAATAACTAGTTGTTATGTTTGGGAGGCGAGGATTTGCGCGAGCCGTGCTCTCACTAACTGCTGAAACAGGGCCCTGCTGTGTGTACGCACAGGCATAGGTACAGACGCAGTCAGCCTAATTCTTCCTCTGAATCCGGTACATTCCTACTCAAACTCTAGAAGCGACAGAGTGGTTATTTTAACGGGAAATGTGTTTTCGACGTTAGGCTGGAACCCAGGGCCTGACTTAGGTTGGCTATGCTGAACAGGCCCTTTGTGCCCTGTATGTGTAGTTCAGGGTAAAGGCAGCTTCTAGCAATTCCTCTCGGGCGTGGGACGCTGGAACTACAGATAGGTATGGACTAAGGGGCTGTAAAAGAAAATTCGTCCAGAGTACAGAAGGCCAGAGGATGCAGACTTGGCCCCATGAAACTATCAAATATATGTTATTACCAGTATTTACCCTGAAAGGCAAATTTTGCAGCAGGTTGGGTTGTCTTGTGGCTGAAAGTATACTTCGGGCCAATTCTCCCTCAGCCTTTTACAAAGAAGGGAGTCTTGGGGCGCCTGGGTGGCTCAGTCGGTTGAGCGTCCGACTTCAGCTCAGGTCACGATCTCGCGGTCCGTGAGTTCGAGCCCCGCGTCAGGCTCTGGGCTGATGGCTCAGAGCCTGGAGCCTGCTTCCGATTCTGTGTCTCCCTCTCTCTCTGCCCCTCCCCCGTTCATGCTCTGTCTCTCTCTGTCTCAAAAATAAATAAACATTAAAAAAAAATTAAAAAAAAAAAAAAAGAAGGGAGTCTTGGTTCTGGGGTAGGTACTTTACATCTCGTAGGCACTAATGAAATATTTGTCGGGAGAAAGAGTGACCGAAGAAGCGAAGGAGCCTTAAGGGGGTTTTAGTTCAGGGGGAGAGGTGGTGGCCAGGGAGTGGGAACCCAAGGGAAACTGATCGGGTTGGGGCCCAGAGTGCAAAGCACAAGCCACGGACCACCGGGCTCTACAGTGGCTTTGAATTTTTTTTTTTTTTTTATGTATGAAATTTATTGTCAAATTGGTTTCCATACAACACCCAGTGCTCATCCCAAAAGGTGCCCTCCTCAATACCCATCACCCACCCTCCCCTCCCTCCCACCCCCCATCAACCCTCAGTTTGTTCTCAGTTTTTAACAGTCTCTTATGCTTTGGCTCTCTCCCACTCTAACCTCTTTTTTTTTTTTTCCTTCCCCTCCCCCATGGGTTCCTGTTAAGTTTCTCAGGATCCACGTAAGAGTGAAACCATATGGTATCTGTCTTTCTGTGTATGGCTTATTTCACTTAGCATCACACTCTCCAGTTCCATCCACGTTGCTACAAAAGGCCAGATTTCATTTTTTCTCATTGAGTGGCTTTGAATTTTAATGTTTGGAGCAGATGGTTGGTATAGATGGCCCTTGGTTTTGCCCGGGAACCGGGCGTCACTGCGAGTTGCCAACCTGTTTGGAGGATGGAGTTGGAGCCCGTAGGTATGCCACAGAGCTCCGTTTTACAGCCGGATTCTTTGGCGGCTTACAGCGAGGTGAATGCAGGACCCTGTGATTTTTTTAGGGCGCCACCGAAATCATTTTTCTAGGATAAGTCCCGAGTCAACAGACTGGGGTCAATATTCGGGGCCAAGCCCATCTGGCTGGCTCCCTGGGTAACCCTGAATCATTAAGCTGTGACCCTCAGTGAAGCTTAGCAAGTTCACTTAGGCTTAGGTCTACGGAACGTTCGAGCACAACGTCCCATCCCTCAGAAGCCCCACGTCTGGAGTGGGAGCAATGAGTCTTAGCACCCCATCTCATGCCCACTCCCTCTCAACTGCAACCAATCGGAAGCCATCCCCCGAGCATCCGGAGGCATTTCCTTACAGTGGGCTGAGCCGGCAGGCAAGTTGAAGGTCAATCCCGTGCTTCCGGCTGTCGGAGCAGAGCTGCAATCCTCCCACACCGCAGCTTCCTGAGGAGGGGCTAGGTATCGGTCCTGCTGGAGGAGGCTTAGGAAAGGCTCATACTTCCCATCAGGCTGGGGCTCGGATGGCACGTGCCCGCCGGAGTAGGTGTGAGAGTAGCCAGGCTCCGAGGAGCTGGGGCTGGCCGGGGAGGGGTAAGGCCACGGCTCGCCAGACGGAACGGACGGGCTCCCCGCCAGGGGCACCGGGTAGTGATCCATAGTCATGAGACCGGGCCCATGGAAGCTGCAGTCGGTGGCGCCGTATGCAAAAGATGCTCCGGGCTCTGGCTTTGTCCACTGAGAAGAGAAACGCCACCGATTCGGAGGCATGTCACCATCTGGGAAGGAAAGATTCGTAAGACATGTTAGGCGGTCATTGTTCGCGACGTGGAAGGAGCTTCATTTTTTTCCTGGTTAATACGTACTCTTTTTCTGATCTGAAGAAAATGTAGAAAAAGTGAACCCACAAAGCCCAGCTTAACCATCATCACCACAGACCATCATCCGCCTTCTTTCCGGGATTTGTTTCCATCCAGGCCCGCGCGGCTTTCACATCACGTATGATTTCGAAGGCTGCTTTTGCATCATTAAACACATCCCCGAACGGAGCCAACACCAGCCTTTTCAATAGCTGCCCAGTATTCCCTCCTGAGACACTAATAATGTGGCCAACAGACATGGTATTTGTGGGCAACTCAGTTATTTCCATCGTTTCAATGATCTCAATCGCACCCGTGGTGGAACATCTCTGTATGTACATCTTTGCATCTATGACCAAAGAGCCCCTCCGGGAAACTTTTCTAGAAGTAGAATTGCTTGATTAAAGGTGATTTCTGTTTGGCTGTTGCCGGCTGGCTTTATTTTACAGCCGGTGGTTTGAATACACCAAACAGAAGGACCCCACAGAACTTTATGAAGGGTTTAACATTTGCCTGTGTAAGTCACTCAAAGAAGTCGAGGCGCTGAAACCCCATTTTCTAGAGGGATCTGGGGCATGGGGATGTTAAGACTGGACCAAGTGAGCGGAGCAGATTAGCCAAGCAGGGATCCGAGCTGGAGCCATAAGTGATGGGTACAGAAATGGTTGTTTGCACCTCTTCCCGCAGAAGCAAAATGCTCAAGGTCAAGGGGTGACTCTGTCTGTGTCTTCTTGCAAAGTTCTTGCGGACCAGCTAACGAGGCCGGAGCCTCCTTCGGTCTCATAGACACTGTTCTAACTGTTCCTATGGTAGCAGCTGAATCTGAGTGTTCAAAAAGTCTAGGACGGCTCATGACACGGATGGATGTTTTCTCTATTCGCAACACCCACTCAGGCAAGAGGGGAGGAGGGAGAGAGGTCTGGCACTCATCTAGCCAAGATAATGAAGGGGGGCGTGGGCGTGAGACAAAGGAAGATCGGAGGGCTGGGGAGACTGGTCCCCTTCTCTCCTCCTCCCCGCCCCCCTGCACATGTGCCTCTCCCAGCTCTCCTGAATGTTCCACTTGCCTGGATTGTGTACAAGACAAAAACAGCTGAGTGGTCTGTGCAGTGACACTGGAGCCTCCCCCCTCCTCCCATCCTAGCTTTTCATGTAATATAGATAAGAGCAAAATAAGCCCTAACTTACGCGGCACAGACATTCTACCCAACGTTTCGCACCACTCACCGTGAGCAACGGCCCGATGGTTGGCCTTTCAGCGAAACCAAGGGCAAGGGAACGTATAAAGATTTGTTCTTGGGGATGAACACCACTTTTGAAAATTGATATCTGCAGACCAGCAGCGATTCAGGATCCCGCGTGGCACAAATAGAGAAAGATTAAGCTGACTTAGTATAATCGCTACGTGTGCTTGGTGTGGAATAAGGTATCGCATGTCCCGAGTACAAGTTAGAAACAATGTGTAGCATCTGACCTAGGCACTGAATGCTTGAAATGTGCAAGGCAGGGCCCCAGGGTCTTTGGAATATTTTGAGAGAGAGAGAGAGAAAGGGAGAGAATCTCAAGCAGTCCCCATGCCCAGCATGGAGCCCAATGAGGGGCTCGATCCCACGACTGAGATCATGACCCGGGCCGAAAGTAAAGAGTTGGACGTTCAACCAAGGGAGCTACCCAGGAGCAGGTCCGCTTGGTCACTGTGCTCAGTTTGGATGGCAGCGTGTGGGGAGGCACAGTGTCCCAAATCCCACATTCACAGCAGCCCCACAGTGGGCCTTGGGAGCCCGGGGAAAGCCGCCTTTCTAGAGCAGGCATGGGTGCTGGTGTCCCACGGAGTTGAGACCCTGAATTTTAATGAGCCACTCTTTCCAGCAGCCACAGCCCCCTACCCTGTGAACCGGGAAGGCATCCTGAGCCACAGTCCTGACTGACTCAAGGTTGCTGCTGCTGCTGCTAGAAGTGACCCTGGTGACAGTTTCTTACCCAAGGTCCCCCCACCAGTTACCTCTAGAGATGAGAGAAGGAGCGCCAAGGAAGACTGCAGTTTTATGTAACCCCAAACTACATTCACAAGCAGAGACCAGTCAAGGGACATGTTGGTTCTGGGACACTTTTTAGCAGTAACCCTCATCTGCAATGTCTCCACTCACTCACTCACTCACTCACACTTGGTCTTCCCCACTAGCCAGGAAGCTTGGAGAACACAGAAATCAGGGCACCCGGGTGGCTCAGTCGGTTAAACATCTGACTCTTGATTTTGGCGTAGGCCATGATCTCACGGTTCCCAGGATCAAGCCCCAAGCCTGTTTGAGATTCTCTCTCCCTCTCTCTCTGCCCCCACCCCACTCACTGTCTCTGTCCCTCAAAATAAATAAATAAACATAAAAAAAAAAAAAAGAACACGGGAGCGCTTGGGTGGGTCAGTTGGTTAAGCCTTGAACTCCAGCTCAGGTCATGATCTCACAGTTCATGAGTTCGAGCCCCGTGTCGGACTCTGTGCTGACAGCTTGGAGCCTGGAGCCTGCTTTGGATTCTGTGTCTCTCCTTGTCTCTCTGCCTCTCCCCCACTCATGCTCTGTCTCTGTCTCTGTCTCTCTCTCTCTCTCAAGAATAAACATCTAAAAAAAAAGGAACACGGAAACCATTTCTCTTTTGTTCACCATCACACCCTCAAGGACTTGCATAGCACCTGGCTGTGGCTGTTGTTGATTATTACCAATTGTTATTGGGGGCTCACATTCACATGCTTCTTTCCTGGTTTGGAACTCTCCACGTAGATCCACCCAGGGGAAAGCACAATGGTAACGGCATGAGGCCGGAGGGTCCCCCCCGCCCCCTGCCGTTGGCCACCTGGTGCCAGGGCAGCAGAAGCAGGTGCATGTTCAATGTGGAGGATGGCGTAGACAGTGGCTGTGGAGAGAATTTTCAGAAGCCATTGCGCGTTGTGTATCCATTTCCGAAGAATACTACATCAGGGGTGGGCAGGAGCAACTGTGAATCCAGAACAGTTTTAAAGCAATTTTTTCTTAGTAGGGAGAGAGAAGGAGGAGAGGGGCAGAGGGAGAGAGACAGTCGTAAGTAGGCTCCGTGCTCAGCGCAGAGCCCGGCACGGGGCTCGATCCCACGACCCCGGGGTCATGACCTGAGCTAAGATCAACAGTCGGATGCTCGACTGACAGAGCCGCCCGGGCAGCCCTGGAACAGTTTTGTTTATTGAGCACTTATTATGGGCCAGGCACCTTGCTTAGCACTCTGTGTGCGTGATCTCATGTGACCCGCACAGCAAGGCAGATGCCACGATGGCGCTAAGCGGTCTGATTGCCAAACTCATGCCCTCAGCAGCTATGTCTCCACAATATTCCAAAGAACAGAGGGAGCTGGGCGTTTTCACGAACTACTGGCGTTGGAAGGGTGGCAGGCGGGCATAATATCTCTGTGGGATTTGTATGCACCCTTTGATCCAGTCATTGCCCTTAGGGCGATTTGGGGATAAAATCAATGATGGGTGCAAAAATTTAGCTACAAAGATATGCAAAATGATATTTAGAATACGGTGAAAAATTGACAACAATCCAGTGTCCAAAAATTGTAAGATTCCATAGATCTTTAAAAAGCATACTCCCAGGGGCGCCTGGGTGGCGCAGTCGGTTAAGCGTCCGACTTCAGCCAGGTCACGATCTCGCGGTCCGTGAGTTCGAGCCCCGCGTCGGGCTCTGGGCTGATGGCTCGGAGGCTGGAGCCTGTTTCCGATTCTGTGTCTCCCTCTCTCTCTGCCCCTCCCCCGTTCATGCTCTGTCTCTCTCTGTCCCCAAAATAAATAAACGTTGAAAAAAAAAATAATAAAAAATAAATAAATAAATAAATAAATAAAAAGCATACTCCTTTGTTTTTGAGAGAAAGAGAGAGGACACAAGTGACAGAGGGGCAGAAAGAGAGAAAGGGGCAGGGAGAGAGAGAGAGAGAGAGAGAGAGAAAGAGAGAGAAGTGGGGCTCACCCGGGGCTTGTGTTCACCCGGAGCAGGGCTCGAACTCACCAACTGTGAGATCATGACCTGAGCCAAAGTCAGATGATTAATGACTGAGTCACCCAGGCGCCCTAAAATGCATACGCTTGAGCCATTAAAATGATGTAGCAGAACATGTAACGGCATGGGAGGGAGAGATACGCGATTTATGTCCAAAATGATGATATGCTATGAAACGTAGCAGGGTGCATAGATGCTCATTTTGAAAAGATAACAGTACTTTTGTGATTGGAAAAAGTTATTTTAAGTAAAAACTGGGGAAACCACGTGACTCCAAGAATTCGAGTCACAGTTGTAAAAGATTGACCTCTTCCCCTTTCTGTCTCCGCCTTTATTTTTGAGAGACAGAGACAGCAGGAGCAGGGGAGGGGCAGAGAGAGAGGGAGACACAGAATCCTGGGCAGGCTCCGGGCTCCGAGCTGACAGCACAGAGCCCGACGCAGGGCTCGAACTCACGGACCGCGAGATCATGACCCGAGCCGAAGTCGGACGCTTAACCGACCGAGCCCCCCAGGCGCCCCTCTGTCTCCACCTTTAATACAAATCCTGCTCTCTGAAGAAGTTAAAACGAAGCACCCTCCCAGCACACACGTCTTGCACCACGAGAAGTCCAACCTCTGGCCCTGTCCGATCTGTACGCATGGACGCTCCCTTCTCTGCCTCCTTGGCTAGTGGCGCTGGTCTCTTATTCATTCTCCCCAGAAACAAAGAGGATATTGTTTGTATTAGCCGAGGTTGAAACAACACCAGGGACCGCTTACAGGACACGATTCTGCTCCAGGCCTCTGAGGCGACCTGCTCAGTCCCCCTCTCCGCCTTACGGTCGCCTCCCTGGGGTACCTAGTCTTTGGCGGGTTATCCAGAACCTTTTCCCTGGTGAAAATGAAAATGAAACACAGAACGTGGGCAGTATTTTCAAGTGGCTAAGAGCGCAGGATCTGTGTCAGATCAGCCTGGTTTCAAAGAGACACTAGTGCCTTCCCAGTGGATTATGGTTGAGGGGAGAGAGAAGAAGGTGGGATCTTTTGGGTCTGGCTCCCAAGGCCTTTGGGTGCTCAGGTATACATCCACTCACCTCTCAGCAGCCCCTGAGCAACATCGCCCAGCCTGGGGCTGGGACTGGGACTGGGACTGGGACGGGAAGAATACAGAGCGGGACGTGCCCCGGGACCATGTCTCCCGCCCCAGAAGTGGTTAACTACTGAAGCTTCTCCGGTTACCGACTCTGAAGCCCAGGAGTCCTTTTAAAAGGGGGATCATTTGAAAATGACTTCACCCTGCGTTTTCTTTTCTGAAGTACGGCCAGTATAAAAATATACATAGGTAAATTAAAACAAGTTTGATTTGGGAAAAGCAGCCAGGAAATTCGATGGCATTTCCCAGCCACGTGGGTCTCCGTGTTTGGGCTTTGCATACTTGGCTTGACAGAGCACCCTTAGAAAGCGGCCGCGTTGGTAGTGAGAGCAGCCTGGGCCTGGCCCGCAGGGGCTGAGACACTGCTAACGGTCAGTCATGAAAGGCCACTTTATGGATTTGCCACCACTTCCGAAGCTGCCTGTCTCTCACACAACACCTCTTGTGAGAACCACTGGGGGGGCTGCCCTTTTTCCACGGGGCCTCCCCTGAGGCAGCAAAGCTGGTGAAACACTTGACTCCTCACAGCAAAGACAGGCCTTGAGGAGCACGGGCCCTCCTTTGCTCAGTCAGCTGGGCCAACATTTGCCTAGCCCACCCCACGGTCTGTGTGGAAGACATCTTGACAGGCGAGGGCTCTGGGAGATTCTCACAGGGAAAACGCTACCGGGAAGGTAGTGGGGAAGATGGCTGCCTCTCTGGTTGACCTGGGAAGGTTGGTTTGGACAAGGAACAGGGCCACGTCCAAGTTCCCTTCACGCACAGGGGTGTCACAGAATAGAATGAAGTCAGAAGGCATAGGAAACCGTACAGCCGCCACAGAGGGCCCAGAAGTCCCTAGAAAACGTGCAGGCTTCCGGGTGGGGCCTGCTGCTCTGTGGTCTTAATGCTTTGAACACAGGCCCTCATACCCACACAAAATAACACCTACATGGCACTCACTATGTGCCAGTGGATATGCATTATGTCACTGACTCCTTCTATAGTTCAATAATACTCAATTGTAGAGATGAGGAAACCGAGGCACAGATAGAGGAAGTGATGTGACCGGAGATCAAGTTGTTAATCAATGGTGGAGCTGGCCTGGGCCCCAGGCTATCCGGTTCTAAAGCCATACATCACATGGTGTTCACTCTCTTGAGTGGCGCCTTCTATGGCAGACATCAGTAGCCTATGATCCAAATCACAATTTCATTCATTCAAGAGATATTGTGTCGGGCATTGGGCTAGCTACTTGGGAAGCAGCAATTAACACAGAGTCCTTGCTGCCACGGAATCCAGAGTCTAGAGGATGGGAGGAGACAAGAAAGAAAAGATATAATAAAAATAAAATATAAAAAATAAAATAAGATAGTGTAAGATGACAGAGGTTGACGGGTTGGGGGGGGGGGCTTCTATTTTTTAAAGAGATTGTGCAGAGAAGGCCTGGACGAAGAGGTGACGTTCCAGGGGAGACCTGAATGAAGAAAAGGGGAAGTCAGGCAGTTATCTGGGGAAAGAGCATTTCAGGGAGAGGGGAAAGGAAGTGCAAAGGGCCTGAGGCGGGATTGTACTTGGCACATCCTACAAATAGCGAGGAGGCTAGTGGGAGGAGATGAAATCGGGAAGAGAGTGGGGCCCCATTCAAGACTTTGGGTTTGACTGCAAGACACAGGAAGCTACTAGAAGCTTCTGAACAGAAGAGAGATAGGAGGAGATTGTCGTTTTAGTGATACCATTCTGATGGCTACTTTGAGAACAGACTGAAGGGGAGCAATGGTGGAAGCAGGGAGAGCAATCGGGAAGCCAAAATCCAGGGTGAGATGATGGCATCATAGCAGCAGAGGTGGGGAGAAGTGGTCAGAACTTGGATATATACTGTTTTTCATGTTTATTTATTTTGGGAGAAAGAGCACGTACATATGTGCGCGTGAGGGGGAGACAGGCAGAGAGAGAGAGAGAGAGAGAGAGAGAGGGAGAGAGGATCCCAAGAAGGCTCTGCACCCCCAGTTCAGAGCCCAACATGGGGCTCGATCCCACGGAACTGTGAGATCGTGACCTGAGCCGAAATCAAGAGTCTGACACTCAACTGACTGAGCCACCCAGGCACCCCAGAACTTGGATATATTTTGAAGGTAAAACTGACAGAATTTGGGGGCACCTGGGTGGCTCAGTAAAATAAGCATCTGACTTTAGCTCAGGTCATGATCTCGCCGTTTGTGGGTTCGAGCCCCGCGTCGGGCTCTGTGCTGACAGCCTGCTTCCGATTCTGGGTCTCTCCCTCTCTCTCTGCCCCTCCCCTACTGGTACACACTCTCTCTCTCAAAAATAAATAAACCTCTTTTTTTTTTTTGAAGGAGTAGTAACCAGAGAGGAAGGAGGAAAACCAAGAGAGCGTGATGTTACGGAATCCAAATGAAGGAGGTTTTTTCTAATTATTTTTTATTTTAGAGAGCTCGAGCAGGGGAAGGGGCAGAGGGAGGGCATCTTTTTTTTTTTTTAGACGTTTATTTATTTATTTTGAGAGAGAGCTCTAGCGGGGGAGGGGCCGAGAGAGAGGGAGACGCAGAATCCGAAGGGGGTTGTGAGATCCTGACCTGAGAGCTGAAAATAAGAGTTGGATGCTCAACTGACTGAGCCACCTGGGTGCCCTGTGAAAGAGGGGGCAACCAAGTGCCGCGGATGACTGGTCACACTCATTCCTGGCCCGCCTCTAAGTACTCATCACACTGTTGGATGGCACTCCCCGCTCCCCGCCCCCTGCCCTTCGCGCCCACGGCAACAGCAAACTTTACATCCTGCCCTTTGGTGTCCTGGGACTGGGGGAAAATCACGTCGCCTGGCTGGACAAATAACTTCTAGGAAAGCACTAAATGCTGCAAAGGTGAACACATCAGATATACACCACGTCCGCGTCCAGGCCCAAAGAGCAAAGCCAGAGTCATGGATTCTGCAAACAGGGGACATCTTCCCGCGCAGGCAGAGGACCCGTTTGGCAGCTTTGCACAAAACAAGCAACCAAGGCCCAAGGGGGGGCCGGGCATTCGATGTGGGTGCTGGGCAAGTACAGTAGAGAGTTCCTCCCCCTCCCCCAACAGAGAGTTTTTAAAAATCAACCAGGCCCTGGTCCACTGCACATTTCAGAATGGTGTTTGGAGGGGGGCGCCTGGGTGCCTCGGTCGGTTAAGCGTCTGACTTCGGCTCAGGTCACGATCTCACAGTTCATGGGTTCAATCGAGCCCCACGTCGGGCTCCGTGCTCCCCCTTTCTCTGCCCACCTCCCCTCCCCCACTCACACTGGGTCTGTCTCTCTCTCTCAAAAAGAAACAAAAAGAAACAGGGGCGCCTGCTGTGGCTCAGTCGGCTCGAACTCACGAGCTCGGACTCACGAACCGCGAGATCACGACCCGAGCCGAGGTCGGACGGTCAACCGACTGAGCCACCCAGGTGTCCCGATTTTGACAAGAAACTTCTAAGAAACGGGTGCGGCTTCTCATTTACAGTGTGACTCGCCTGCGGCAAATACACGCGTGTGAGCACAAAGGCATCGCAGAACCGGTCTTTCCGTGACAGCCTTGATAGAAACTTCCAGCTTCCTCCCACCCAGCCTGCTCACCGTTCCTCAGGATCACATCTGCACTCTGGCTCGAGGGGCTCAGTCGCTGGGGCCTCTTGACACTGCTCAGAGCCCTGGAGAAGTGTTCGTCCACTACGCTGCCGATGTCCCCTTGGAAATAGGTGAAAAGGACGCACTGAGAATTCCACTCAGTCTTTATGGGTCTCTGCAGCTGGATAGTGGTCTTCCCCGTTTCTTCCATCGTGAGGGACGCAGATGACAGCTGCAGATCGAACACAAAACGTTACTGGCACCATTTTTCCGAGCGGCTTGGCTATCGTTTGGATGAGGGGCCCCTGGGGGACAAGCACCCCAAAAGCTCTCACGATGCTTCCAGGGAACCCCGAGCCCCTGAGCGGCGCCCGGGAGCTCGTCCACCCCGCTGCGCTGGTCTGAGCACCAGGCGAGGAGCCCTGTGTGATCAACGTTCAGGGACCAAGACAAGAGTCTACAAAGCGCCGAAGGGGTCCTCAAGAGCCTCAGATGAGAACGATCTGGCAACTCCACTACAAGAACAGCGGGGAGTTAAACAGCAGAAAAAAAAAAAAAAAAAAACAACCGGCCCCTGAGGCCCAAACCGTAACTTGCCTCCTGGGTTAGTGCCTTCCTCCTGCAAAACAAAGGATCCCCCTCCCCGGACAGCTTGACCAAGCAATCCAGGGGGTATTCGAAGATTCCACTTTTCGTAACAAGCATTGCTTTCTGCCTTGACCGCTTTCGTGCAAGGGAATGAGACACATCAAATTCTCCCCACCCCCTGATGCTGTTGATCCTTGCACCCACCCCCCACCCCGTGCTGGACACGAGCACCTAAAAACAGCACCGGTCCTAAGGCCTCCGGACACATAAATTCTGAACCAAATACACATCTCAAGAACGAACATGGTTTACGCTAATATATATGGCAACGTTGGTGAAAAGCTTTTGAAAGATTGCCAGGATGTCGACCCCGTTGGCCGCCAGATGCTCCACACCTAGAACAATGCCCGGGATGCCGTAGAAGCTCGATAGCCCTTTGCTGAATTGCCTTAAACTTGGCGTCCATCATTGTATCCTAACCGTGAGCTCCTTTGGAGCAGAGACTGTCCTCTCGCACCAAAGCCAGGACTGGGCACACAGTGGGCACTCAAGACCTCCTGCGTGGCCTTGCTTTACTAGAGAAGTAGCCTGTGCTTCTTAACCTTTGGCCCCCCCAACCCCACTTGCCAAGGTGCTCTGGCTAAAAGCACTTTTATTCATTCTTGTGAATATGATGGAAATGATTACAGTTCAATAGCTATGTTCTGTGTTCTTCTCTAGTCACTAAACAATGGCCGAGTGCCTGAATGCCATGTCATGCAGAGGAAGCACAAGGCAAGGCAATCATACCAATTAGGAGTCAGAAGACCTGGGGTTTTCCTCAGCTGTGTGATTTGGGGGGAGGCACATAGCCTCTCCGGGATGCAGATTCCTCTTGGGTAAAATTAAGAGGCTGGAGACGATGAATTTTGCAGCCCATTCTTTTAGGTTCCTAGTGTCAATCGATTGTGATGAGCAGGGGACCCTTCCAAAAAGTTCTCCTTTCCGACTCATTCTGGCCCCAGTCATAACTGGGCTCTGCCGTCATGAAGCCTTCATAACAACACAGCTTTCAATTGAGCACATCGTTCTGTTTCACCCTGGTGGACCGCCACGCTAAGTAAGCATCACCAGGCCCGACCTGAAAAATGAATCCTTTGTATCCTTATTCCAAAAAAAAAAAAAAAACAAAAAAAAAAAAAACAAAACCACACGCCAACAACCACTCTGCAACAGTGTTTGGCAGTTTCTGATAAAGTTGAACATATGCTTGCTATATATATGACCCAGCAATCCTACTTCTAGATACAAAGAGCCAGGAGAATCGAAAACCTATGTCCGTACAAAGACTTGTATAGGATATTCATAGCGGCTTTATTTATAATAGCCAAAAAGTGGAAATGAGCCAAATGCCCATCACCAGGATTATAAATAAACTAGCTGTGACGCTAGCGTATAACGGAATGTCATTCAACAATGAAAAAGGCAAAAACTACCCATCCACACAACAGCATGGAGAATCACAGAAATACTATGTTGGGTGAAAAAAAAAAAAAAAAAAACCCCAGACACAAAAGACCACATATTGTATGATTCCACTTACACGAGACTGGCAGAAATAACCTGTGGGGGTAGAAATCAGAATAGTGGCTGGCTGTAGGGTGGAAATCGGGAAGGGGCATGAGGAACTCTCACGGGTGTTCGAAAGGTCCTACATCTGGAGGGTGAATGTCCTATGTGGGTGTACACGTTTGTCAAAATCCATCAGATGGTACGCTCAAGATCTGCGCATTTCACTAAAGGTAAATTATTCCTCGATTAAAAAAAGCACATGCGGGGCGCCTGGGTGGCTCAGTCGGTTAAGCGTCCTGACTTTTCGGCTCGGGTCATGATCTCATGGTCCATGAGTTCGAGCCTCGCGTCAGGCTCTGTGCCGACAGCTCAGAGCCCGGAGCCTGCTTTGGATTCTGTGTCTCCCTCTCTCTCTGCCCCTCCCCCGCTCATGCTGTCTCTCTCTGTCTCAAAAATAAATAAACATTAAAAAAAAAAAACTTTTTTTAAGGCACGTGCTATATCCAGATACTCAGCATTGCAGAAATAAAACAAAGGCGTTATCCTTGAGCACATTATGAGTTTGGGATGCTGACTACGAATAGCCCACTGTTGACCGGAAGTCTTACTGGTAACGCAAACAGTCACTTAATACATATTTTGTATATGTATTATGCGCTGCATTCTTACAGTAAAGTCAGAGAAAAGAAGCGTAAAGAAAATCGTAAGGAAGAGAAAATACATTTAAAGCGCTGCTCTGTAAAAAAAAAAAAAAAAAAAAAAGACTGCATAAGTGGACCCATGCAGTTCAAACCCTTGTAGTTCAAAAGTCAAGTGTACTGTATAATATCACTAGTGTGCGGAATTTTAAAAAGCCAAACTCATAGAAACAGAGATTAAAGTGATGATTACGAGCAGCTGGGGGGGGGGGGCGGGAGGGAACCGGGTAAGTCTTGTTTAGGATACAAAGTTATAAGGAGTAAATAAACCCCAAAGACCTAAGACCGTACAGAGAACTCACACACAACCCTATCGCAGTATAATCCTCCGATTTGCAGAGACTAGAACTAAACTATTCCACCTGCCGAATAGAAAGTAACTATGTGAGGTTACGCATGATCACTAGAGGGGCCATCCTATGACAATGTATATACACATTTATCAAATTAACACGGAACACCTTAAATGGACACAGTTGTATGAAAACACAGCAAAAGAAAAAAACAAAAAAGGAAAGCAAAGCTGTTACGAAGGATAAGGTCATGATAAATGTTGGGAGGCAGCACTTTTTCTAAAGCCGCGGATTACGAAATACCTCCTCGGTGCCTGAAGCTATATGGATATTCTCTCCAGTCTTTACAGCCCTCGGAGCAGGCACTATTACCCCATTTTGCAGATGAGCAATATGGGGGCCCAGAAGGGGAAATGAACTACCCGGGCCGCACAGCTAGGCGTGTGGCAGGCAGAGCTGGGGTTTGAACCCTCTCTAGCTTCAGTGTCTGTCCATTCCCCACCGTCCCTTACCTGGTGGGACTAACAGTCCCCTTCTATGAGCCTCCGTCCGCCCCAGTCTACCAAACGTAAAGGCTTGGCTTCTGATATCTAGGGAACCTGGAGCCAGGCCCTAAAGCAGCCACCTGGTTTCCTTTGGGGGATACAGGCAGAACATCTGTGCACCCCTTCCAGGCGCCTCCGTAAAGCTGCTACTTGCGAGGGCTGCTTCGCACCTTTGCAGGACTCACGGCTTTACCCCTGGAAATGCCAGTGGCCACTGATCTCAGCTCAGGCTTGACACAGCTTGCAAATCTGTCTTTGCGGAGTCTCCCTGAAGCCACAGCCGGCCGGACCCTTGGGGACATCAGGGCCCTGGAGCACGGCCCTTGTCTCCTCGGGTAAAGAGCACAGAGACCACAGGCCGCTGGCCACAGCCAGGAAAGGTTAGAGAGAGAGCCAGAGGCAACGCCTCATCCCCATCACCTTGGAAGGATCAGACCTTACGCAAGTGGGATCTTGAACAAGCCACAACTGCTACCTCTGCCCTATCTCGTCCTCCCCAAACACACGGACGCACGTCCCCAAGGGAAACCATGGGTTACGTCTCTGCATCTGGCTCAAGGGCAAGCGTCCGGCCGGCACCCACACCTCGGTGGGAAGGTTCGTAGCCCCCTCGGAGGGCTATGAAATTCAGAGAAATGTTACCATCTACAGCCTTTGCAAAGCTGCATCTCACGGCACCTCGGGAGGAACACGGGCAGTTCCATCCCCAAACGACTCCAGGAGTGAACTGGGGTCTGGCTGAAGAGAAGGCGGAGAGAGGGTGGGACCTTCCGGGAGACGGCCCGGTCCCAGTCCCCGGCTTGTAGCAAAAGCCTCTTGCAGACAAAACCCTAAGGTCAAGCTTTGCCAGCTGTGCGGCTAGAATAGCATAATCACAAAAGTACCCTGGTCGCTTGCGATGTCCCCAGCATGGAAACGACAAAGGCGCCAAGCGCTCCAACTCGACCTCAAAATAATGGCCAAACTTCTGCACAAATACTCCAACACGGACTCCAATGCCAGCAGTCTGCCTGCAGGGACGCGGTTCCCACCCGTCTGCAGAATGGTACCAGGCACCTCGGGTGGGGGGTGGGGTGTCGTGTCAGAGAGGTCGCCACTTGGCACGAAAGCCCCAAAGGGACCAGATGTCTATCAGTGAGCAAAGCGTGGGATGCTCACCGCTTCCCCGCCCCGATTCCTTCACAGTTGAATTTCCATCACTCCTTGCCACCCCCCCCGCCCCCCCAAAGTCACCAGCTTCTCTTACCTTAACTCCTGACCATCGAACTGAGACAGCAAGATCCCAGGGCTGGGCAAAGGTGCTTAGGGGTGGTCAGAGTCGCCTGGCCCACTTTGGAGCAGCTCAGGGCTTGCGGAAGCAGGGGCTGGGGATTTTGTACCCTCCCCTCGCTACTTTCTACCCCTCCAGCCCGGGCTATAAGAGGCATTTCCTGCTGGCTATCTATTAAGAATGCAGAAAATGCACTCCGACAAGTCCTTCGGGTTGGGCACCTGCAGGAATGAGGAACAGAGGGAGCTCTTTTTTATTTCTTTCTTTTTGCATTAAAACAAAGCACTTAGTGATATTGTCTCTTAAAGGAGGCGGCCAGTTGTTTGCCGGAAACCACACACAGAGTCACCGGCGTCTAGAACATCAGTCACCTTCACTCTCAGGGACAGGGAAAGTGTGTTCGGCCCATCCCAGCGTTCTCCCTCTCTCTCCCCGAGGGCAGAAGAGGGGAGCCCACACCCCGAGAATTCCGGACGTGTCACGGGCTTCCGTGGGCCCCAGAGGGAGACCACATCTCCGCCGTCATGGAAGGAATACACACCCAGCCTACGTGCCGGGGTGTTCACAGACACGTGTGCGGCGTGTGTATGTCAGACGGCAGTCAGTGCCGCAAAGAGCAGTGAGCCGGGAAAAGGAAGCAGGGAAGGGGGACGTACGGGACCACGGAGACAGGATTCTCCGACAAAGTGACATTGGAGCAGAACCCTGAGGGGGCACACCGTGTGCATTTCCGCTTTCCCTGATATCCGGGGGAAACCAAAGGCAGAAGGGGGGGGACTCGTGCTTGGTCTGTTCGCAGAAGGGCGAGGAGGCCAGCGGGGCTGGAGAAGGAGGGAGGCGAGGGAGACGGGGCCAGATCAGAGGGCCCCACGGGCCACGCTGAGGCTTTGACTTTTGCGCCAAGTGAAAAGGAAACCCACTGGAGGGTTTGGAGAAAAACACATCAACGACTCCCGCAAGTTCTACCTTCAAAATGCATCGCTTTCCCACCACCTCCCCCAGGCTCGCCCAGGTCTGAGCGCCCACCCTTTCTCCTCAGCACCGCCCCAGAGCCTAACGGGGCTCCTTCCTTCCACCCGTGGCCCTTCTTGGGCCAAACACCTCAAGACAGCACCAGGGATCATTTTAGAACATGCGTAGAATCGAGTCACTCCTTGTTTGGAAGCTTCTACTGGCTTCTCTTCCCACGTCCCGGTGACAAGGGCCCAAGGGAAGGAACTGCCCCCACCCCCTGGTCTCGGCCGCTCTCCCCACCCTCCCCTCCCTTAAGCTCCAGCCCTGCAGGGTTCCCGGCCTTTCCTTGAATGGGGTCAACATCCTCTCCCTGGGATGCCCATCCCCCACACACCCTCGGGACTTGCCCTCTTGTTACCTCTCCGCTCAGTCACTTTGTTACTTTTTATTTATTTATTTATTTATTTTACGTTGAGAGAGACAGAGAGAGCACAAGTATGGGAGGGGCGGAGAGAGAGGGAGAGAGAATCTTAAGCAGGCTCGGCACTGTCACACACCGTGAGATCAGGACCCGAGCCAAAATCAAGAGTCTGGGGTTTGACCAACTGAGCCACCCAGGCGCCCCCACTCGGTCACTTTGAGAAGGCTTCTGGAAGTGCCCTATCCCACGTCAGCAACGTCCCATACTCTCTGTCCTGTTAGCCCATTTCTCAGTTCTTCAGAGCACTTTTTGCTGCTTGACGTCATGTTGCATATTTATTTGTTTACAGTTTGCCTCCCCTTCTAAAATAATGCCCGGTATACAGTAGGGGCTCGGTGAATATCTGCCGGATGAAGGAATGAGTGGCAGGGGGGAGACAAATGATTCAAGTATGCACCAAATGAACGCACATCTGCAATGGTAATAAGCCAATGTCGGGGCACAGAAGCGCCACTGATAAGCAGCTCTGACTTCATCAGGGAACACTGTCTTCCCTGGGGAACTAACGCCGGACCTGAGATCTGACAGGCTGAGAAACGGCAAACCACCCAAGGTTGGGGGGTGGTCATAGCTAGTGCGGCCTGCATTGAGATAGTTTGCATTTTTTCCTAGGAATAAAAAGAAGCTATTAAAGGATTTGGTGGAGGTCTGTGTGGAGGGGTGTGGGGGGAGGGGGGGGGGGAAGTGACCCAATCAGATGTGTGCTGAAGCCATCCGTCTGGCTGCGATGTAGAGAAAGCGTTGCAGAATCAAGGCCACACGGACGGACCGACCTGTCAGAGCGCTGCTCAAGTAGTCTGGGGGAGGTGTGGTGATAGCCGCATCTGGGGGTTGGGGGGAAGGAGGTGGATGTAGAGAGAAGTGAATGGATTCAAGACGTATTGAGAAAATAAAATAGATTTGGTGCTGAATTGGATCCAGAGGGGGAAGGGAACCAAAGACAACTGCTGGATCTGGCTAGTGCATCACTTGATCGATTGGTGTGCCTCTCACTGAGCTATGAAACATTGCAAGAGTGTCTTCTTTGGGAGAGAAAAAGAAAGATTGCTGTTTGAACGTGTTGATTTGGAGGAAGTCTTTGAGCCGTCCGAGAAGACACGACACTGGTCAGTGAGGAGAGAGGTCCGAGGCGGGGTAGTCGCCATGAGCCAGCAAACATTACCCCCAGAAGGAGCGGGCAAGGAAACGGGATAAAACACCGGAGGGTGTTAGCGTCCTAAAGCCCAAAGGACACGTTTCAAGATGACAGAGCTGGTCACCTGGGGCCAATGCTGCTGAGAACTGCAAGAGCCTGGGGCCCCAGAATTTTCTGCTGGATTTTGTGGCATGGAGATCATATGTGATCTTAAGGAGGGATGTGGCCGGAGGCAGATGCGAGTGGGGTGGGACAAGAGGAAAAGACTGGCAAAAAGGAAGTGAAAAGGGGAGGAGAGATCGAGCAGAGTCTGGAGGTACGGGAGGGGGTCCAATAAGTTTGTTGTTCCTTTTTCTTTTCTTTAAAGATGTCATTTTATTTTATTTTTTAATGTTTATTTGTTTATTTTTGAGAGAGAGAGAGAGAGAGAGAGAGAGAGAGAGAGAGAGAGAGAACCAGCACGGGAGGGGCAGAGAGAGAGGGGGACAGAGGATCCAAAGCAGGTTCTGTGCCGACAGCACAGAGCCCGATGACATCGTGAGACGCTCAACCAACTGAGCCACCCGGGCGCCCCAGTCTTTGCTCATTTTTAAAGACTGAGTACTCTATTAGAGGGTCGCTAGGATTTCCTATGGCTGTGCTATTCTAAGTAAACTAAGATATTGTGAAATTCAAAATGGTAGAAAAGTAGCCACCTAGAACGTCCATTTTTATTGTTTTCAAATGCAAGCGCTCCCTTCCAGTTCAAGGTGATGGACAGAGTTCACATATTTAATCTCGTCGTCCTCCCAAAATCCTGAGAAAATGCCAGAAGAAATATAAAAAGAAGGACAAAAAACCAGAAAAGTTACAATTATTATCTAAATTGAAAGATGAGTAAACAGAGGGGGGCTGTAAAGTACGGCATAGGGAATATAGTTAATAATATTGTAACAACACCGGATGGTGACAGATGGCAGCTAGATTTATCTCAGCGATCACTTCATAATGTATATAAATGAATCACTATGTTGTCCACCTGAAACAAATACATTCTTATGTCAACTACATTTCAATAAAAAAGAAAAAGAAGGGGCGCCTGGGTGGCTCAGTCGGTTGAGCGTCTCCCTTGGGCTCAGGTCATGATCTCATGGCTTGTGAGTTCGAGCCCCGCCTGGGGCTCTGTGCTGACAGCTCGGAGCCTGGAGCCGGCTTCGGATTCTGTGTCTCCCTTTCTCTCTCTGCCCCTCCCCTGCTCACACTCTCTCTCTCTCTCTCTCTCTCTCTCTCTCTCAAAAATAAATAAACATCAAAAATAATTGAAAAAGAAAAAGAAAAACTGTTTGCTGATTCTTGGGCTAGCCCAATAAGGCAATATCAATAAATTAGACTTTAACACTGGAAAAACAATTAGCAAACAGAGCCACAGAGAGGTTAAGAGCTTGTCCCAGCCGAGCCGTCTGACTCTAGAGCCGGTGCGCTAAACCACGGTTATGTGACCTTTCAGGAACAATAAAACAACTTCTGGAAGTTATAATGTGGAACCCACACCCTGCTAACACAGGGATGAGAGAAGGAATATGGGAGAAACGATTGAGAATCTTTCAAACAGAGCCCCAGGAAAAGCTCTGAATTAGTAGAGGCTAGAGTGAGTCATGGAGCAGAAAGCAGAGAAGTTAGTTATAAGTCTGCCAAGGCAGATGGGCCGTTCTCCAACTCTGTGCACAGTGTCTTCCTGTAGTGTTCACCCCTGGCTACAGTCAGTGAGAACAGCTTTATAAATAAAGCACTTCTTGTGCCCAGAGACGGAGCCCCACTTGGACTTTTGTGGTCGGAGACAGTAGGGAGTGCCCAGGTAATTGGGGGGTCAGCCATGAGAATGTAGAGACAAAAGGCATCTTGGCAGAACATCCCCTGAAACTCGATATGTCCGGTCCGACACCGATGGCAACCTCTTTCCTATGCATGCTTCACAAATGGGAACCTGCTGTGGGCACACCCGTCCCGGCCCCCCCCCCCCCCCCCCGCCCAAACGTTCACTTGCGCCGCTCTGTCGCTTTCAGAGAGAAAACCCATCAGGTGAACAGTGCCTTTCACAACTGCAGAGGACCCCAAACCCGGCGCCAACCTGTAGTCATCTAGTCCTTCAGATGAATGGCCAATCACCAGACGTTGAAGCAAAACCAACAGCGTGACAGAGAAACACTAACATGAACAAGCAAACAAACTGACTTTGGAGGGGCAAGTTAATGTGGAAAACGTTTCAAAACTTGGAATCAGCATTTTGAGACATGTCCAAGAGAATCTTGCATCCATAGAACAAAATCAGTCTGCTATGAAAAAAAGGGTGATCGGAGAAGAAGAGTTTTCACAAAATGATAACGTAATTGCTGAAATAAGACAGGCAAATAACAGGGGTGCTTGGCTGGCTCAGTGAAGCGTCTGACTCTCGATCTCGGCTCGGGTCATGATCTCACGTGGATTCGAGCCCCGCGTTGGGCTCTGTGCTGACCGCAGAGCCTGCTTGAGATTCTCTCTTTCCCTCCGTCTCTCTCTCTCTGTCTCTCAAAATAAA